GCCAGAGTGCGAACAGAAGCAGAGACAGATAGCATAGTAGGATCTCAAATGAATAATACAGGGCACGAATCTAAACAACCGGTAATCACTCAGGTGGAAGGAGACTCTTCTCCGACCCGATACTGGCGAAATATGTCAATTGAAGATGCAACAATGCTAACGGAAAACATATACAAGAAAATAGTTACTTTCTCCCCAAGCAATCTATTCGACATTCCAAAATGCAACGCAACGAAAGACTTAATTAAGGAAGTCGAATTCTTAATTAAAGAGTACACAAACGGCAGCTTCCTCCAACCGATTGCTCTAAAAACAATCGCTATTCTACCTCATCTCATATGCCAAAGAACACATACAAAATCCAAGACCGCAGATGATGTAAAGGCTATGAAAAGGAGGATGGAGCGATGGAAAGTAGAGATGTTACTGGACTCCTGAAAGAGGCAAAAAACCTACAGGAAAGACACAGAAAAACAATTGCAACAAGAAAAGAGATGGACAAATCAAGGAAATTTGCCAGTCTAATGAAACAAGGCAAAGTGACAAAGGCAGTAAGGGTCCTAACATCAAATGAAACAACAGGGACATTACCCTTAAATGAAAACACCCGTCGCTTGCTCAATGAAAAGCACCCGCCTGCAAAGGAAGCGGCGGCGGGAACGATGTTTCGTGGAGAGTATAATCCCCCACCTCCGGAGATCTTTGAGCGAATTACCGGCGAAAAGATAAGAACACATGCATTGTACACACATGGTGCAGCTGGACCTTCTGGACTCGACGCAAAGGCATGGAAAACCATCCTGAGCAGCAGCAAGTTTGGGTCAGCTGCAAATGACCTTTGCAAAGCCATTGCATCTCTTGCTAGAAAACTTGCAACAGAAAACTGCAACAACCTGGATGCCCTCACAGCTTGTCGTTTAATTGCCCTCGACAAGAAGCCCGGATGCCGCCCCATTGGCATTGGAGAAGTCTTGCGACGAATCATCGGCAAGGCAATCATGAACGTTGTCGGAGACGACGTTAGACAAGCCGTGGGAAATTTACAGGTGTGTGCAGGTCAACAGTGCAGGGTGTGAGGCAGCAATCCACGCCATGAGAAACATCTATGAAGAGCCGGATTGTCAGGCCGTACTCATGGTGGATGCTACAAATGCCTTCAACAACATCAACCGGAAGGCAACAATCCACAATATAGAGGTCAAATGCCCAAGCCTCGCACAATACATTAAGAACACCTACAACAACCCAGCAGAGCTCCACATAGTCGACAATAGAACAAATACCTATGAGATGATAGCTTCAGCCGAGGGCACAACACAAGGTGACCCAGTTGCCATGGCGATGTACGCCATCGGTCTCCTCAGGCTACAAACAATAATTGACCACACAACAACAAATATAAAGCAAGTTGCCTATGCCGACGACCTGACCGGAGCAGGGAAAATTGAGAACATAAGGAAGTGGTGGAATCTCATTGAGACACATGGCCCTCCACAAGGATATTTTCCGAACGCCGCCAAATCGGTTTTAATTGTAAAACCGGAATATCTCGGACAAGCCAGAGAAGCCTTCAAACGTGATTATAAAGGCCGGCGGTGAAAAACACCTTGGGGCAGTTCTTGGCACAACAGCAGCCAGGGAAGAATACATAACAAGGCAAGTGGATGAATGGAGAAGGGAAGTGATAGAGCTGGCAGAAATCGCAAAGAAGGAACCGCACTCGGCATATACCGCCTTCACCTTCGGTATCAAACACAAGTGGAACTTCTTAATGCGAACTATACCTAACATCGAGCCTTTACTTTCACCACTTGAGGAAGCAATTGTAAAGCACCTGATCCCAGCACCATCAGGTGGAAGAAATTCCACTGCCAACGAGAGAGCCATACTCGAACTTTCGCCAAGGCTTGGGGGACTCGGCATAACAAACCCGTGTAAAATAGCGGACATGGAGTTCCAAAACTCTGTCAAGCTCTCAGCCAGCCTAACTCAGGCCATAATAACGCAAGAAACATATACACAGCCTGATACAACACAACAAAAAACAATCAAAATGGAAATTACAAAAAATAGAGAAACAAAGGAGAGGGCACAACCTCAAGAACTAACCTCTATAATTACTGAGGATATGAAAAGAAGAATGAGTATGGCACGCGAAACCGGCGCCTCTAGCTGGTTGACCAGTCTCCCCATCAAAGTCAAATGGTTTAGTTTAAACAAACAGGAGTTTGTGGACGCACTTGCCCTGAGATATGGTTGGCCAATAGAGGACCTTCACCAGCACTGCACGTGCGGTTCGGCTTTCGACCCCAACCATGCCATGACGTGCAAGACGGGAGGCTTTGTTTGCATGCGCCACGACGAGGTGAGGGACGTGACTGCACAAATGCTTGGCGAGGTGTGCCGCGACGTGAGGATCGAACCTCCCCTCATCCCCACAGAAGGGCGCAACTTCTCCAATCCACCAACACTGCAGACGACGCCAGATTAGACATCAGTGCCAACAGTTTCTGGGTACGAGGGCAACGGGCCTTCTTCGACATACGAATCTTCAACCCTATGGCCACGAGCAACCGATCCCAGGAACTCCTCTCTGCTCACACTAAGCATGAGAACAACAAAATGAGGGAGTATGGCGAACGCGTCCGAGAAGTCGAGCAAGGTACTTTCACACCTCTTGTATTCACGACTTCTGGGGGAATGTCACCGAGAGCGACGATATTCTACTCATCCCTTGCACAACAACTTGCAGAGAAAAGGCAGCAACAGAAGAGCGCCGTCGTTGCATGGATGAGGTGTCGAATGGCCTTCTCACTACTACGGTCTTCACTGCTCTGTCTACGAGGAACAAGGAACAAACCGGCAATGTACACTAGTCTCAAGGATTTAGATATAGAGGAAACTGTTGTAAATAGTAGAATAAAGAGAAATATGTAATTGTAAACAAAAGTAATAAAGGTTAAAATACATCTCCCTAAAATAAGTTGGATGTCGACCACAGCCATTGGCGAGGACGGGGCACACACACACACACAGAGGGAGAGAGGGAGGGAGGGAAGGAAGGAGAGAGAGAGAGATTGAGGGAGGGAGGGAGGGAAGGTGAGGGAGAGAGAGATAATGAGAGAAAAGAAAAAGAGAGAGAGAGAGAGAGAGAGAGAGAGAGAGAGGGAAAGAGAGAGAGAGAGAGAGAAAGAGAGAGAGAGAGAATGAGAGAAAATGAGAGATAATGAGAGAAAAGTAAAAGAGAGAGAGAGAGAAAGAGAGAGAGAGAGAGAGTAAGACACACACACACACAGAGGGAGAGAGGGAAGGAGGGAAGGAAGGAGAGAGAGAGGGAGGGAGGGAGTGAGGGAAGGTGAGAGAGAGAGAGATAATAAGACAAGAGAAAAAGAGAGAGAAAGACTGTCAGGGTATACGCCCAGTGTATGGTGCGCTGTCTGCGGTAAAACGGCAGTGCATAAAGAGACGCACCATTGCACAGCTCCAGACTGTCCTAACGTGTGTCATACTGCTTGCAATGCCGACAGCAGCACTTTCAATTGCACGGAAGTCGGCTTCCTGCGAACACTCGTTGGCCTCAGTGACGATGTGATATTCGTTGACGACGAGGCGGAGCCTGTAATAACAGCTGTCACTAATGAGGCACCAGAGGTCACTGAGAATGACAGTGACAGCGACTTACTGAGTCTCGATCCCCAGCAATTAATACAGATTATAAAATAATTACAAGCCGAGTTAAGCCGTAAAAAGTTCGTGCTGAATTTCTTTGAATCTGCTGCCCAAAATCTGGCCGAGAAAAGAGATGCTGTTGTCTCTATTCTGGATTTGATTGACAACACGGCATCAATCAAATCCAGTTTAGGTGCACTAGAAGTGCGGTCTATTGCCGCCAGTGCTCGACCCACAAAAATAGACGAGGAGTGGCATGGACACCTCTCTCGACATAAAAAAGCTCGCGAATGGTGGTCTTCCAAAAAGCCTAAACCTCTACAGGGAGTCACTGCCATTCCTGATAGAAAGAAAACTAATGTTGCCAACAACATAAGCAACAGAAATACCATCAGCAACAACGACACCTGCACCACCACCACTAACAACAGCCAGGGGCGTGTTCAGGCGCCGCAAAGGCCCCCCGCCCACCGGGGGTCAGTGGCGCCTTCCTCATCTGAGCCCCACACAAGAGAGCGAGCCAGCAACTCAGTGGGAACAGATATAATATAGGGCAGGTACATGCCAGGTCAGTCACTGGGCAGAGAGCAAAGGAGCGCTGCCAACTGTGCAAACGAACAGGTCACAGTGACGTAAATTGTTTTAGGAACTTGACCTGTTCTTACTGTCAACGAAGAGGTCACCAGGAGCAAGACTGCCGCACTCGGAAAGAGCATGAGAGGCAAGAGGTCTTATTTACTAAGCTCGCTACCAACCAGGCTAATAGTAATGCACTGTTAATTCAGTCATTAAACAAATATCTAACGCCTCAGCAGTCAACGGGTGTATCACACACAACGAACTGGCCATCGCTGGCTACTAATACACGGCCATACACCTGGTCCCTATGTACAGCAGTATGCCAGGTAGCCTATCCATCATATCAGCCAATGTCAGGGGTTTTCAGACGAACATTGGGGATTTAACATATAGATTTATAATCCCACACAGCCCTGACATCATTGCTACCGTTGAGACATTCCTCAATCATGATGTCCCTGCCACCTATGGGAAAGTGAACGGCTACACTCGCTGGCACCGTCGCGACAGGGCGGTTGGCACTTTTGGTGGCATCGCTGTCTGCTTTCGTGAGAGCCTCGCGGTTCAGGTGATTTCTGTGGACATCCCTGATCATCTGGAAATGATGTTCCTTAAGATTCACGGAGAATCACCCTTTCTGATGTGTGTGTGCTACAGGCCCCAGTGGCAAGGTCGAGAGCCCCTTACCTATCTGCAGACACACCTTGATGCTCTCCTACAAAAACATGAATGCAGCCATGCAATCATTGTCGGCGACCTAAACCAATATCTTGTCGTCAGGGCATTTGATGAGTTGCTGACATTGCATGGGTTAACGAATCATGTGGATTTTGCCACCCACATTTCAGGTTCCTCACTTGACCCTGTTATCAGTGACCTCAGCCCCGACATAATTACGTGTAGCCAACTGGGGACTGTTGGATCCTCAGACCACTTCACTGTTCACACACAGGTGATAGCAAAAGTGGATCGAGAGGAAAACACAATTAGAACAAACTGGAATAAAGGCAAATGGGCCAGTATGCACCACAAGCTAAGGCGGGTGAACTGGGATGAAATACTGAGTGGCGATATCAATGACCAGGTATCCAATATCAATGACGTCTTATTAACACTACAGAGACAATTTATACCTAGTCAGAGATACAAATGCAAAGTAGGAGATCAGCCATGGTTTGGTTATCAGTGTCGCACTGCTGCTGACCTGAAAAGTAGAGCCTGGCGTCGCTATAAGCAGCATCCAACCAACCACAACAAACAACTGCACAAGATGGCCTGCAAGAACATACATCACGTGCAAAAGAGAGCGATAGAGCAATGGAAAAATGACCTACAGCAAAAACTGTCTGGTTGCATTGCTTGCGACAAAGTCTGGTGGACTTGCATAAAGCAACAACAAGGCCTGCTTCAGGCTGACACCATACCACCATTAACAAAGCCTGATAAAACCACTGCAATCACGAGTGAAGAAAAGGCCCAGGTACTTGCCACTCACTTTGCAAGCAAAATGAGTGTCCCTGACCTCGACCTAACTCCCCCATCCGTCCCTCTCTACACTAAGCCACACTAAAGACCATCAGCATTAAAGTTGACGAAGTCAAGAAAATCCCCGTCTGCTCAAAGGTTGTGCTGATCAATTAGCAGAGCCTCTGTGTAGGCTTTTCAACAACTGCTTGCAAAAGAAGCAATGGCCTTGTCTGTGGAAATCTGCTAGAGTAGTGGCGATACACAAAAAATCTGCAGCGACGGATCCTAACAATTATGGGCCCATATCTCTGCTCTCTGTTGTTAGCAATTGGATATTGGAAACTATAATTGCCGAAAAACTCACTAGGCACTTCGACGGCCACCGATTATTGAACGAGAAACAGTTTGGCTTTCGGGCAGAGAGATCAGCCTCTGTCCTACTTCTCGTCCAGTCATCGTCATGGAGTCAAGCCCTAGACGATGGCCAAGACACTTATGTTATTGCATTAGAAATCGCTGGTGCGTTCGACAGGGTGTGGCAACGTGGCATAATCAGCAAGCTAAGGAGCTTCGGCATCAGTGGGGACCTCTTGGACCTTCTCCAAAACTATCTCCATGGAAGATCACTTTCCGTGGTGGTGAACGGCCACTCCTCCACCGAGTGCCCCATTAGTGCCTCCGTGCCCCAAGGTAGCGTCCTTGGACCTCTGCTTTGGAACGTCTTCTTTAATGACATCCTGCAACTCATATCGGGGGCGTCCGCGTATGCTGACGACTGCACGATGTCATTCATGTGTAAGCGAGACGACCATCAGCGAACAATAGCAATCAGATGCTTCAGAGCCTTGTGGCGTGGAGCCGGAGATGGCAGGTGACGCTGGCCCCGGAGAAGACACAGGCGATGCTCATCTCCCGTCGGAGGGACCTGGCCTCCTTGCCCGCTCCAAACATCCTCCTCGACGGCAAAAGATTGTCTCTACAGGACTCCATCAAGATCCTCGGAGTAGAGTTCGATAGCGGCTTAACATACCCGCGACACGTCCAGCAAGTGGCCAAGACAACTGCATGGAAGCTTGGATGCATCCGTCGCATCAGCCATCTCCTGGACGGGCCCGGTGTAGCAGCACTCTATAAGTCGCAAGTTCGCAGTCTTATGGAGTACAGTCCGTTCGTGTGATCTGCCTATCCGCCTTCATATCTTCTTCTACTGGATCAGGTTCAGAGGAGGGCTGAAGCAATCATCCGCTACAAAACTCGGCAACCGCTGGATGCCACACTTCAGCCTTTGCAACACCGGCGCAATGTTGGCGGCCTTTGTGTAATGTATAAGGTTAATGTAGTGCAGACTCCGCATCTATCAAGCTTACGCCTTCCCGCCCCACACAACTCCAGCTACGACACCCGTGGTGGACGCGAGCGACAAGAGCAAGTACGTGTACCCTTTGCCAGGACAGAGATCCACCTGCGCTCATTTCTGTCAAGATATGGGCGCCTCTGGAACCACATGGTCAGGAACACCAGCCTCCATCACGCAACGTCTCTACAACAGTTCAAGAGTCGCGTCAACATCTGGCTCCTCAACCAATAGCAGATGTACAGGGTTTTTAGAGTTTTAACTGATCACATATTTATTTGTTTTAATATTAGATTTTAGTTCTTTTCCTTCTTAGTATTTTTGTTATTTTAATGTTCACTTCTAGAGTGCTTGCCACAGATAGCTTAACGTGTAATAAGTTAAAGCTTTGGCAAAGTTTTGTAAATGTACTCTCATTTTATACCTGAAAT